ACAGCATAACTTTGCTGAATTTACAATATGGGTTAAGTTACAGTTGTGGCCTTGAAGTAACAACTTGAATACTGAAGTGTCAATAATACCTATGGAATCTTTAAAAACAAAAGTCAGGGGCCAAGGGTTATTACTGTGATTCATCAGTAAACATAGCAGGAAGGCTAGTTAATAAACACCAACTAATCCCTTCAATTACAGCAATAAATTGTTCAATTGGTTATATGTCTACAAGTTTTGCTCCAAACATCACTGCAAACTGTTTAATTAGCAAACTGTTGCATCACTTGACAAACAGATATTGGCAAGGTCTGAGGGCCACAAGATCCCTTAAGAATTAGCAGTATTTATTTCATATTTGTCTTGCTTTCTGCAGGGATTCAGGTTTACCATATAGACCAAGTACACCTTAGTGGTTTTTAAGTCTTTTTCAAAAGCTGTTCATTCATCAACATTTGTATTAATGGAACGACATAAAAATAATAAATTAAATAAAAAAATATTATTTCAGCACAGTTCTTTATGTTTTGGAAGAAAATGAAAACAGGCAGATTAATAGCAAAACTAGGCTGACGTGTGCGAAGCTGTCCTTTGTATTTCATATTACACAAGCCGGCAAACTTATTTCAAAATTGCATGTTCTACAAAATAAACTTTAAAATGAAAATGAGTTAATTCTGCAAGGTGCTTAGTATTCAGAACTCTGAATTATTTCACTGAAAACCTGTCTGTTGTGAAAGGTACCAGTAACTATTACTTACTATTATGAACATATGGTATATACTAACTTTGAACATGCATACGTGACCAAAATGAGAGAGTAAAAAATGACTAAGTTTTGCCACATCTGACGTCAAAGATAAAGTAGCTTCTGGAGATAAAGGTGACAAGTTTAATATCTGCTCTCCCAGAGCTCCGAAGTTGATTTCAATGAGCTCTGAAGTAGGTCCATAGGGTATTATAGGCTATCATCATCAACTACTAGTAAAAAATTAAGAGATATGGACAGTGGTTGGTAGATTTTTACAACTTTATCTTAAATTAAACTTTAGATTATATAAAACAAATAGAAAAAGGAGATGTGAAATTTGTCATGCGATACACTGAAAGAAAATTATTTTTTCTATGGGGATTCTCTGCAAAATTTAACAGAAATAAATTTATTTTCAGTACCAATAAAAATAGGAGCAGAAAGTATAGTACAGTAACTTGAATTCTTGTGGCAAACAGCAAATGCATATATAAATCATTTGTTTATTTAAATATGGAAGCAATCAATAGAAACTGATGACTCGCTCTCAATCAAAAAGCTCCCTTTGGAAGAGGCTCTTAAAAACAGATGTATGCCACAACCTGCAGAAGCATGTGGTTTCTTTAAATGCCATTGAATGTAATAGAAGTTAAGAACCTTATTTTATCTTTGAAAATCAGGATCTAGATTTTTAAAAAGTATTTAGACACCTAAGGTTCCACCAGATGCACCCAAGGGATTTTCAAAAGCTCCTGGCTCCTTAACTCACTGAATTAAATTTTCCCTAATTAATTTTAGCTATAAAGTCAACTGGCTAGAGTAGTACTTTTCAACCTTTTCAGATCTGAAGTACCCTTCAACAGATTCAAGACACCCCTTTATAGGCTTGAGGCACCCCATGGAAATTGCCAGCTCTTCATTTTCACTCTTTTTTTCACTATAAAAATGATCTGTTGCAAATAACTTAGACATGCCACCACAGATTGTAATGTTTTGAAAACTCTGCTAACATTGTGTGGCACCCCACAGCTCCCTGGTTGAATCACTGGGCTAGAGGGAGTGATCCTATGGCCCAGTAGCTAGGGAAGCAATGGGGGATGGTCAGGTTCAAATCCCTATTGCAGTTGATATTTATTAGTGCACTGTGGAACAACTTCAACTGGAGAAATTGAGAAACATGCCCAGAAAAGCCAATGGCCTAGTGATTAGGATACCTCCCATGGGAAGTAAGATACCTGTGGTTTAAGCCCCTGTTCCAAATCAGGCAGTGGTAATTTGAAAGCAGGCCTTCCAACTTTTAGATGAGGATCTACAGCCTAGGGTATTGGATAAAATACGGTTTGTGGGTATCTTTTTGGTCTTTTGTGAGAAAAGACTGACCCAGCTGGTGGATGGGATAACCTGTGGAGCTGTACCACCACTAAAATACTGTCTGTGGGTCTTGGATTTGATCTGCAGACTGCATGCAGGACTGGCCCCTCACTGTGCAGGGTTGGTTTGTGGGTCCAAACTAGCCCGTAGACTAGCTCCAGGCCACTGGGCCTGATAAATTTGACACCCCTAATCCAAATAACTTTAAAACTCTGGGCCTTATACTCATTCCAAACCACACTGGTACCCAAGGACAGACCTCCACTGACCTCAGCAGTCACTGGATAAGACCCGTATAATGTCCTCCAAAATATATGTTATCCCATATAGTGTTAGGCCCAAAAGAAAAAAATGATTTAAATATACTGGAGATAAAGGCTGTCAGCCACCTCCTTCTTTATCTATTTTTGGTTCTCTTAGAATTTAGAACTTAGTTCTCTCTGTACTTAAGCAGAGACTTAACTTTAAGCATGAGAGTAGTTCTGCTAAATCAATGGGACTAACTACAGTATTAAAAACTTAGGGTAAAATTAGGTACATGATTAAGTAGCTTGCTAAATCAGCACATTAGCTTTCCCCACTTGCAGATACTATAAATCAGGGGCAGTCAAAATGTGGCCCGCTGGGCCGTTTTATCCAGCCAAAAGGGCCCCTAAAAAAATCAGAAAATTAATATTTATCTGCCCTTGGCAGCCTGTCATATGGCCCTCGATGGCTTGCCAAAACTCAGTAAGCAGCCCTCCGCCCGAAATAATTGCCCGCGCCTGCTATAAATGCAGGTCTGGTACTACAAACTAGATTGACAACCCTGTAAATTCTTAGGCCAATTTTTCAACTGACATACATTAGCATAGTTCTATTGAAATCAATGGACCTACAGCAATTTACACCATCTAAGACTTTATTCCAAAATCTTACTGAAAAAACCAAGGAACCTGAACCCAATGGTGATGTTCTCCTGCAGTGGAGCCTCAGACAGGTTTTTATTCTGGAGGCTGTTTACAACCAGTTCATAACCTTTGTACTCCAGACAGTCTTTAGAACTTACTCTCTGTGCTATTAAGGTTAGAGATTATGAATCTTCCAACCAGCCAGACCATCGTAAATATTTAGCAGGTATGCTGCAACTGATTATGTTGTTGTAAAATGGATATTGGTAAAGAAACTTCTATTCAAAAAGCAATTTTAGAACTTACTCTTTACAATCAAAGTAAGAAGGTCTTAAGCAGAGCAGTACATGAAGACTCTGCTTTGAAGTTCCTAAGTTATACTTATTTAATAATTATAAATATTTAGCATAAGGACATTCTCTCATTTCAGATTCTTAAATCTCAGATTTACTTTAAATCCTGAAACTCACTCAGACTCACTTTAGTTTTTGACTGAAAAAAACCTTACCATTTCTATACAAATTCACTTAAACCTAATCTACAATTTACAGAAAAATCCATTTAAATGGTCAGAGTATGGCTATATCTCCTGAGTAATGTTGCACATCTTCCACTTAAATTAAGTGAAAGCCACTGTGAAATTCAGAAAACAGAATAGTTATGCTTTTAGGATTAGTATTATCCATATTTGATCCATTTCAAATACGTACATTCACCTTTACTGTATTTGATCATTTATACCAATGCAATGCTTTTAGTCATCATACCAAATAACATCCATGTATGAAGAGTTGGTTAAGATAAAATGATACTAATACATTAATTTTGGGCCCTCAAAACAGATTTTGAAAAAAATAATAAAAAAAAACTAATATAGAGGTGTTTAGAAGATTTTCTTTTAAATGCTGTGAAATATTCCCATTGTTCACTAGCTGCTTTAGTAACATGACAAACATAAAGTAAAATTTACTGCTAAGCAAAGTAAAACTGACCAATCTAGTTTCATTTTGCAGTCAGAGTGAAATGAGTGTATGCTGCAAATAAAAGTGCATGACAGCTGAAAAGAAAATCAGGTATTTTATACATTATATTTTGATCCTTTTTCACTTTTAATAGCAGAAGTCAGGAGTAAATTCATTAAATGTAATAGTATTATAGTAGTTTAACTGAAAAGAGTTGCATGCCTAGATTACAGTGTCTTAATAGGATAGGAAATGTTTATTTGAATAGCAAAAATACCTTTCACTTGTTAAATTCCATTCTAAAGTTTTCTTGTGAACAGCTATTGCTATTGCAGAGGCCACCTGGTTACAATGCTACTGCTTTATTCAGGACTAAACTATCCTATTAATTTGTAGTGAAAATATTCTCTATCTTATTAAGGGAAAAAAGGTTACAGAATCTAGATGCAGGATAACAAAAGCAAAGAGGAGAAAATTTTAAAGTGCTGGATCTCTATCATAGCGTTCTATCCTAAATATACAAAGGTGGAATACCAAATTACTGTGCCAATAACTGAAAAAAGACTAAATTATATTGGTTCTGTGTTAGACACGTTTTAGAGCCAAAAATATTACATACTGAATTTCAACTGTCTTTGTATAGAAAGCGAGATCTTGGAAATGTTTTGTGAGAATCTTAATTATTTTTACATGTATATAAAATAAATGTTGCTCTTTAAATAATAGACATGCCTGAATTTTAACAATATGATTAAGGCCCAAAGTTTCTCTAAAGTTTGGGGATCGTTCAGAGGCAGAATTTCCAAGTCTGAACCTCATAGACTGAATGGGCTGCTATTGCGGTGCTTCTGTTCTGAAAAAAATTACTTGTCTGAGGAGTTTCCTTCATAGTGGAGTCCAAAGGTTTTCTATCGTCTCAAGTAATTTAAAAAATAACCATTTTAGCCATTACAACTGAATAGCAGCAGTTTTCACAGCACGGTACACACACAGCTTTAAATCAAGTTCCATAGAGTTGTCACTCACCTGACCTACAGGGTTTTTGTCTTCTATAGAACATGTGGTGTTTCGGTACTATACTGCTCCTTCAATGGCTGTGCAGAGTATCTCCACACAGTAGCTTCCTGTGCAAAACATTTTTTTGCCTATTTCTTTCCCAGTTCCTTGAAATGTGAAAGCAGAGTTATGCCAGCTATCCTAAGCAGCTTTATACTGCATCGGGCACCTGTTCAGACAAGAGCTAGTTAAAAAAGCAAAACAACAGCTGAATGAGGTCAGCTACCCTATGAACTTTAGGATGTACAGGGAGACCCCACTACCCCCATCCATCCCATTTCTATTTGAAAATAGCAGTTCTAGTAATATGATGCCTTCCTTTCCTGTTTGAAAGACAGTGAAAGCCCTCCTGCTGCATTGAAGCTGTCTTCTACTCTCCCAAGACCAAAGTCCCAGTCTCCCTGCTTGCACTAAGCCTCTGTCTGCAGGGAAAAAGCAACTCATCTTATGCTAGCAGTATTTGTCTAAGGAGCACAGGTTCAACACAGACAGTTAACCATTAACTAACCCTCTCAGAGCTCAGATTACAGTTGCCATACATGCTTGTTAACATGTTTTAAAACTCCTGTGCAGTTTAGGATATCCACTTTTGTTATTCAGTTCTCCATCAGGCATCTCAAAGTGCCATAATAAATGAATGAGCACAACATAGCAGAATATCCCAATGCCTACAAGTAAAAATCACAATGCCACCTGAATTAAGGGTGGATAACAGCTTCATGTTTGTGTAAGTGGCACTGGTTAGATCAAAATACATATCATTTGGAAGTTCACTTACCCATCACAAATGCTTAATATAGACACTGCAAATGATAAGAAATATACAGAAAAGCACTATAAATGCAACCTTCAGATTTTCATATTTAACAAAGACATGAGCAGCCCACTGTCACAGCAGCACTGTCCCTCTGCCCCACCCCAGTTGGTCCCCGCCCCAGGCAAGAGGAGCATTGCTTCACCCACCCCTACTTTCAGCTGCCGGAACAAGTGATCAGAAACTAACCTATACCTATAACAGAACAGAAGTTGGGTGCACACAGACTGGTTTAAAAATGGCACAACCTGGTCTAAGATTTGCACCCTCCACCAACAAAGGGTGAATGTGTGTTTTGTTTTATACTGATCTAAAATATACCACCTACAGAAAATTGTGTAACTTGGATCAATTCCACCTCAGGCTTTTTGAATGTCTGTACCTAGCCTTATAAAAATTATCCATCACTGAAGGGTGTTGACCCTGCAAAAATACAATACAAGAGGTATTCCGTGCCTCAAAGAGCTTCCAATCTTAACAGAGAAGATGAACAAAGAGTGAAAGAGAGGAAGTGGTGTTATTCCCATGTGACAGACAGAGAACTGAAGCCCAGAGACATTAAACTTTTAGTCACGTAACAGTGGCTTATCAGCTTTCAACTTTAGTGGACCTTTCCGTGGGTACCAGTGCCTACTTAGGCAGAGCCACCTGCAGGATTGAAGCATAAATGACTTCCTGAAAGTCATTCAAGAAGACCTACAGAGATTTGGGATTTGAGCTTGCATCTCTTGGGTCTCACTGCAGTGTCCTAAATACGAGGCCATCTTTTCACTTTTTTTTATGTGCATGCACCTCCTTTTGTACCAGCTAGGGTTACTGTATTTCTGATTTACATCACTGTAAGATCAGTACCTGGGCTTCAGGTTTTTGCATCTATCTAGCACAGAAAGATTTAAAAAAAAAAAAAAAATTGGGACCCTGATTCAGCGAAGCACATAGGCACGTGCTTAATTCCATCCCTATTCAGTAAAGCACTTAAGTATGTACTTAATTCTCATTTACTTCAATGAGGCTTGAACATGTTTAAAGTTAAGCCCCTACGTAAGTGCTTTCTCAAACTGGAGCCTACCTAAATTGTGACCTAAGAGAATAAAAATTAGATCAAAATTGTATCCAGTGCAGTTTGTCTCCAGATTTAAAGTTAAGAAATGAGAAGATAAATGAGTGCAGAACAGTATTTTGATACATGTGTAATGGCTTTTTAGATCCAGAGTATAATGTGTACGAGTAATGTATTGTATTCAGTTGTATGAGTAGAGTAAATTATAATTTAATTATAAATCATTTAAAGACAAAATTAACAGAAAAACAGGAAGCCTTTAAGGGAAGAGAATATGTGGAAAAAATTATAGCACAATAGGAAGACAGGACTTGGAGGGAAGTTCCGTAATAACTAGTAAAGAGGTTCAAGTGAACACAAGTTTCCAGTGCCAGGACGTAGTCACCATCAGTAGATACCACTTTAAATGCTGTGCAATACATCTCCCATCTTTCAGTGAGCTGTGTGGGTGAAATCAAGCATAAGAATGGTCCAGCTCATTGTAGGCCCATGGCCTAGGGAATCCTTAGAGAGAAAAACAGCAACTCTGAGATTTTCAGGGTGGCAGTCAGTGTAATATCAGAGAAGAGAAAATAATGCATTATTTAAAAAAAAGTTAAGTATATTTGCTAATGGTCTTATTTTCTTATGCACTTTCATGCCCTTCCCTTCTGACCCTCAAGCCTTCAATAAAGCTGGTTCTTCAGTGATAAGAGACACTGACCAAACATATTCTCTTTACTGCAGGGTTCACTGTTCAAACTAAAGGTACGTTGCCTGTTTCAAGGATATCCCTATCAATTTGATTGACACTACCATAAAGTTGGAAAGTTGGTAGTCAGGGAATATGCCGGCAGGCAAGAAGTAGACATATTTTCTATTTTTACTAACAATTCACCCCTAGAATTGTCCTGAAGATATTCTCACCCAGTTACTAAAATTATTCTGTTTCTAGCAAATGCTTATGATCCATTCACTATACTTCCTTTTTGGATACATGGAACTGGATTTCCTTAAAAACAGGGGTGTCAAACTTATCCAGTCATGTAGGCAGCATGAGTGGCATGGGGCTGGTGCACAGGCTAGATCCAGCCTACAGGCCCCATCTCCTTACCTCACTTATAGCATCCCTGATTTAGTGGCTGCTTCAGCCCACATTATGTGCAGTGCAGGTTCTGGAGCAGCCAGAATGGGCCAGAACAGACGCAGTCTAGCCAGAGCAGCAGCTATGCTACATGTAGTGCTGGCCCCATCCAGACTGCATTAGAAGAATGGCTTCCATTTACAGGTAAATAACATTTCTGATTATTATAATTCTAAGAGTAGATAAACTATTCCAATAAAAAATTACTCAACATTTCTAAACTCCTGTTACTTCTTAACTATCAGCTGATGCTGTTCCTATCCTCCTTAGGAAGTGTGGGTGTTCTATAGAGTAAATTGGCAATCACTAGATTGATTTCTTCTACTTTTTGATTTTTGTGGATAGAAATACTCTTTAATGATTAAGGACCCTTTTAAAAGGTCTTACACATAAATTTGACTTTATGTACTGTAAATACTTCCCTTGAAGCTGTTGGGGTTACACTGCATAAAATTCAAATGCATACATACTTCTTTGAAAGATAGGGGCCTAAAATCTAAATATCAACTAGCCATTATCATTTTGATGAATCCAACCCAACTGTATCTATGGGATTAAAAAAAAGGTTATAAAGGTGCTTTAAAGATGAAAAATATTATACAAGTGCACGTGTGTGTACATTACATGGGCAAGTGGAAGGACAGCAGGGCTAGAAAGGCAGATTGTACCGACTGACCTGACAATTGGCATAGAAACCACACTTCATCATTAGTAGCTGTAGGGTTGTGAAGTCTTACAAATTTAAAGTTTCCCCCTTTTTAGTTAAAGCCACTAGACTGTTAAATGTGCAGGTCCTCAACTTTAAGCTTAAATCTATTCTCTGAAAGAAAGACAGATAAGTCTCCAGGAACAAGCAGTATCTGCTGTAGTGATGTATACTTATTGGGTGTGTCTACACATGCATTTACGCTGGCTTAAATTTACTCTACAGTAAGTGGAAATAGGCCGACATCTACATGTACAGGCATTAAAGCGCAGTAACACTGTGTGTGGACTGACTTGAGACTAACATTAGTCCCAAGTTGGTCCACACACAGTGTTACTGCGCAGTAAAGCATCTACACATGTGTTACTGTGCAGTAATTAATTGGGCATAAATTTGATACCTGCATGCTCAAGTTGGCATAAGTCACCATATTTACTGCACAGTACGGGCATGCACGTGTAGATGCATACCCATACTGCACAATAATTTCGGTTACTGCATAGTAAATGGTCATGTGTAAACATGCCCACTGACAACAATTTTATACGAAAAGCTCAGGAATATGATGGGTGGTTCTGAGAAATGATAGAGGCAGTTAACTGTTCATCAGAAGTAAGGCAGAAGGCAGGGTGGGGTAGCACCTTGAAGACTAATTGGTATAGAATGGCATCTCTTTGAACCAATTAGTCTTTGAGGTGCTACCCTGCCTAGTCTTATGAAAAATGGAGAAGGAATAATTATAATTAATACCATCTTCCACAGAAATACATTCAGTAATAAAATAAAGGGGCTGTATATATATGCATAACTTTATATGGCATACTTTAAGGAATAAGGATAGATTTACTGGCCCAGGAAAAAATAGCCTCAAAAGGTTTAGAATGATATAAATATATTTCCAAATTTGTCCTCACAGACATTTTGTTCATATATCAGTTGTCTTAACATATTCAACTGTATGAAACACTATGAATTTTGGCAAATGTAGGAACAGGCTGGAACATTTTAAATATTTTGTTTTTTCTCAGTCAGGCAGACTTTTATATCTAAGAATGTGTTCTAAAAGAAAAATCAATCTGTTTTCAGCATTTATCTCATGTTCCCTACTTTGTCAGAACTCCATTCTTATGGCAATATAATCCTTCTGTTCTACCAAAAAAAGACTGTTTGCAAACACATATATTGATTAGCAATACTTAATTTATATTATTGTTAGAAATATGAAATGTTTCTTTGTGACAGTGGATTGCTTGCAGAAATCAGTAAGGATGCAACAGAAAGTTGTTAGTTTGGATAACTGCCTTTAACAAATAGATAATTAATTCTTCCCCCTCCTCTCAACTTGTCTTTATCATTGGTAGCAAGAGACTATTTCCCACTGTCAAACAAATACTCACTTTTCTCCTCAAGAAATTCCTAATAGTGTTTGATCCCCAGAACATTTAGGAGAGCTCTGAACTTGAGCACTGCTTTTCATCTTTGCAACAGAAGCTACTTGCTGTTCTGCCACTTTAAACTGGGGATCTCAAAACTGTCTATGTCAATATTAATATCAGGAGGGGTCACATGACATACCCTTTGTCTCGCTTCTGCCAGTGTGGCAGTGGTCATGGCCAATGATTAAGACAAGAGGTAGCAAAAGGATGAAAAATGATTAATCTGTATTCCAGCCATCAAGGGGGTAAGAAAGGTCACCCCACTTTCCTTCAG